CCTTTGTCACATCTTTTGTATTTGGAATGGGTTCAGACTCAAATTCAGTGTTTGACTTGGGTTCAGCAGAAACAGGTTTCGAGTCAGAAAAATTAATGGGTGTAAATGTTGAAGAAAGGGACAAATCAAGCAAAAAGAAATCTTTATCCTTATCTTCCATGAATGAAGTCTCCCCCTGAAGATAAGGTTGAGTAAAAAATGGTTTACTTTCTTCAAAAGTAACATCTGCAGACACATAGAATTTTTTGGTAAGAGGATGATAGCACTTATATCCTTTTTGAGTTGAAGAATACCCCACAAAAATACACTTAATCTCTCTTAGATCCAACTTTCCCCTATTATGACTGTGAACATGAACAAATGATGTACAACCAAATATCTTAGGTGTGAGATTGTTTGTGGTATTGAGGTTGGGATAAATTTATGAGAGTAGTTTCATAGGAGTTTTAAATCCCAAAACCATTGAAGATAACCTATTTATAATATGTGTGGCAGTGAGAACAGCTTCACCTTAGTAAAATTTAGGTACATTTGCTTGAAAAAGAAAAGCTCGGGTTGTGGCTAGTAAATGACTGTTTTTCTTCTCTGTCACTCCATTCTGCTGTGGAGTATTAACACAAGATGACTCATGGATAATCCCTTCTTTTTGGAAATAGGTAGATAGACTCTGGTTGAAGTAGTCTCTTGCATTATCAGACCTAAATCTCTTGATTATCACTCCAAATTGATTTTGGATCATGTTTTGGAAGCTTAAAAACACACTATTCACATCTGATTTGGATTTAAGTATAAAAACCCAAGAGATCCTAGTACAATCATCTATGAATGAAACAAACCATCTCGCACTAGAAATATTAGGAATTGTAGAGGGACCCCAAATGTCACTATGAATCAAGTAAAAGGGAGTAGAACTTCTTTTGTTACTGATTGGAAAAGACACACGTCTATGCTTTGCAAGTTCACACACATCACAATGAAAGTCTTCGACATTTAATCTTTTAAACAAAGAAGGAAACATGTTTCTCAAGGTTCCAAAAGCAGGATGTCCAAGACGAAAATGATAAAGCCAGATTTTGTCTTTATTGGAAGATTTTTCAGAAAGAAATGACAAAGGTAAACTATTGTTGATATTACTTGTATGATTTGATGTCTCAAGATAGTATAGTCCATCCTTCTCCTTAGCAAGTCCAATCATTTTCCCCGAACTCTGGTTTTGAAATTCACAATAAGAGAGATAAAAAGTTACTTTGCAATTCATATCTCTGGTAAGTTTTTGTATAGATATCAAATTAGTAGACAATCTAGGAACATGAAGAACATTTTTTAGAACAAAAGAGGGATTAACTTGAACATCTCCTAATCTTGCCACTGTGGTAACCCTCTGCAACAACAATTTTCTTATTACTAGGACACAGGTTATATGTACTAAACTTTTGTGAGGGATGTGTCATGTGGTCTGTGACTCCTGAGTCAATGACCTAAGAACTCGTAATAGGCTTAGCCCAGACATTTAATCCATGAGAACCAGAAGCTTTACCTGAACTAGAAACCTTACCCAAAGAACATACCACAGTAGGCTTTTCAAGGATTTTCAATAAGTTTCTCAGCTTTTCAATCTCTTCCCTGTCGAACTCTCTTTGTTTCTGAGACGTCTGTAGTACTCCAGTGATTTTCACATTTAACATTTCCTCAAATTGGGTGGTAGTGATATCTTTCTTTGAAAGGGTTCGACAATGAAGGCCTAAAAAAGTCAGCAATGATGGCTGAAAATTTTGCTTCCCAAGAAACGCCTAAAGCTCTGATACCATGTGAAAAAACTAAGAAATAAATTAGTGTGAAAACTGAATGTATATTGAAAAACTGCTAATTTAGAATTATACAAGAACCTTAGGTTTATATACAACTAACTAGGGGTTAAACTAGGAAACTAAATCTTCCTAAAAAAACTAATCCTATAATTGAGAGATTGTCTATCCTAATTTTTTGTCCTTAATTCTAGGGATACAAATATAAATATACAGATTGCAAGATTACAACTAGCTGTAAATAAGTGTTTTCCCACACATTTATATGATGTAAAAGTGGAGAGTGTAAATGAAAAACAAATACAAAACTAAACAGGCTGTTGGCTTTCATTCTTGACCTTTGTGGCATGAAAACCAAAAGTTCCTGGCTTCAGTAACTGTATATATAAGATATGATTTTCTTGTGAAATTTGAAGTCATTCATAGCAATATCCTTATCTTATTAGCAACAAATTTTAAAATAATTCATTTGTTTACATTATTTTCCCTGTTGTTTCTTGTGTGTAGATGAGAAGAAACTTGGCAAAATTGGAGTTGTACCGCAAGTTTACTAATGCACTTGCAGTGTCTGTGTTGCTTTCTATTGCTTGGATCGGCTTTGAGGTAATACCAGTTGTTCTATTCATTAAAGAGTTGTTTAGGTGGCTTGGTATGTGGGATCTTGGAGAGACAATTGGCATTGCCTTCCTAAGTATATTAGGAGATGCTTAAAAACAATGTACACCCATGATTCGTATAGCATAAGCATTCTTTGTAATGTTTGGTAACATGAACGTGGTTAGTGATTTGGTACCTTGCCTAATATTTCCAACATGCCCTTAATATCATACATGTCCTTAATTTGAGCTTTGAGTTTTTTAATTGAGCTCAAGCTTGAGCCTTGCACTTGATCAGTTCTCGGCTTAGCTTGATCACGCCCTATGCATCACAGGGGAAAGTAAGATGACAATCTCTCTGTAGGAATGACTTTTGTGCAAGATATGTGCCAATAAAAAAAAAATGGGTATAGAGTGCATGGGAGTGAAAAGAGAGGTCTTGTGTGCCAATTGTGGTACTTAGAGATTTCTGCCCCACAATTCCCAGGCATCCCATGGATTCATGATTCTCTTACTGAAACCAGCTAAGTTGAGTTTGGCATTTTGTAATTTTCTCTTTCCATCATATTTGTGCATGCTTTTATCACACTCCCCCCCCCCCCCCCCCCCAATCCACACGGTAGGCACCCAAAAGAGCTGAAAAGCAACCAAAAATATAATTGAAGCTCTTCTGATTTCTCTTGGCTCAGCTATACTTCAATGCGACTGATCCACTGAGTGAGTTGTGGCAAATTGCATGGATCATCCCAGCTTTCTGGAATATGCTTGCATATTCTCTCTTGGTGGTCATATGTGTTCTCTGGGCTCCTTCACGCAACCCAACCAGGTACTAGAATTGATATTTGCTACATTTCGGTAAATGTCTTTTCTGGAACAAAACCAAGCCTTACATGAAGATGAATGCTTTTACTAGTTCAATTCTATGGCATGGGTTTTTCTGAGAGGCAGCTCTCATATTTTCCTGTATCAAATAACTATGCGTATTTAGCCCCCAGTCGATACTCTGTATAAAAAAAGTTATGTCAATTTTTCATTTGAGTATTTGACGCTGAAAACACACTTGATTCTTTTGGTTTTGTTAAGGTTAATTACCAATGTATACGACCTTTCATGGTTCTAAAGTAGGAAACTAGATGCGCAGAAAACCAGTATGGTGTGAAGGATGTCTCCATTTCTGTTTATGTTGGTTGACCTGCAATGAGATGTTTGGTTATGACTTTTATTTTGGAGTAGAATAATAATAATAATTGGCCATTAATGTGGATGTGGTGTGGACTTTGTAGATATGCTTATATGGAGGAAATGGGTGAGGACTCTGATGAGGAGGGTATTGCGTTGACGGGGAATGGTGGGGACATGGCAATGAAGCTGGAAAGGCAGGCGATTGGAGATGATCTTGAAGAGGATAAGCGTGAATAGATAGTATCAGCGTACCCAGAAGGAAGGAAGGATATCTGTAAATCTTGCTATACAATCTGTGTTGTTTCGTATGTATATATAGAGAAGGAGGGAGATTGCTGTATTGGTGAAAATTTACAGCTGAATATAATGGTCTGACCCAAACCATCTTTTTAACTCATCTTCAGGTTGTTACTAGATATCTTTGTTGAAGCCTCCTTAATTTAAATTCTATGTTTCTCTCTCTTCCTTTTGCTGTTTTCTGCAATCTGCATTTTACTTCTTTTGCTACTGTTTCATCATTTGCTGTAAAACTCAACTGCTAATGAAATTTTACTAAACACTAAAAGGCTTCTTTTTCTTTTTCCAAATTTCAATACATAAAGAACACTGTTGCTATAAAAAAAGTTAAAATTCTAACATAAAATATGATGAAGCCATTCTCTTAATTTTGTAAAAATCAAAAGAAACAGACAGCATGTGGGTAACGAAGTATTGTTGAAATATTCATGCGCTGTGATTATACTTTAAAAAAAAAAAAGGCCTATGATTAATTGCATGTCATAAATAAATATAATGAATAAGAGAAATAACACATTTTCTATATGATAATAAATAAAAAATAGTTTTTTTTAAATAAATCTTTAATTAAAACCCGAAAGTATGATGATGTTATTGAGTAGATTAGATAGGAATAGCAAAACAGGCCCATATTATTTTCGGGTTTGATTTCAGGCTCATTGCTTTAGGTGAACATAGTAACTCTTTGCCAGCTTTTCCTTTCCTGTCCTTGTGGGAACTGTTTTTATAAAATATCTCCACCAATCTGATTTCCTTCCACAATTTATTTCCCAATATATATATATATATATATATATATATATATATATGTAAAGCTAGATTATTTTTTCTGTTTTGGTTTTTATGCACACATCTTTGTTGGCGCGGCAGAGGCTGAAGAAAAGAATATGAGTCATCACCATCGTCACCACCACCATGGAGACAGTTCTTGCGATGATCCATTCTTGAGGTGCTGTTGTTGCCCATGTTTTCTAATGTCTTCCATTTTCAGGGGCTTTGGCAGATGCGTATTCGTGGCTTGTTATCTCCTTCTCCACTGCTTTGGATTCCATGATTGGGATCACCACCACCATCACAGGTATTAATTTCTATTGAATTCTTGTTTCTCTTTTCTTTTCTTTTTTTTTCAGTTATTCTTCAACCTGTTGAATGTTTCCTGCTTCATTGGTAATTCAAATATCTTGGGTTGTTTTTGTTTCATACCAGCATGTTCATGTTATTTCTACTGACAATTACAAATTTCTTGAGGGATTTGGCAATAGGTATTTAATTAGCCAAATGGTATTGATAAGTCATACAAATAACAAAGTTAGTCAATTTATCATCTTTCAAATTTGGGTTTTTTTAACTTGATTTCTCTTCCAACCATTTGGACATCATTCACATTAGAACATTAGCGGGGTGGCCATCAAAAGCTATGGTGAATAACAGCTAAAGATATGTTGTTACAACAGTTGTATCATAAATTTTTATCAGTGTATTCAGCGTCTAAATAAGACGTGAGATGCATGGATCACTAAATCCTCCATGAAAGATTGCTGAAAAGATAAAGGCAAGCAAGAACCTATTTAACTTTCAACTTTCCCTATGACCTCCTAAATATGACATCCTATTTAACTTCATAGGATGTGAAGAATCCTATGAAGGTATGAAATGATTTTCATTTTTATTGGAACAAGTGACATGACTCAATTGTCTATGATTATGGCCCTTTTTATAATTATTGATTGAGACAAACTGAGAAAATCCTTTTCACAGTTGTCGTAGATAATGTGTTTGATGAAGATATGTACACAATAGGGGTCGTTAATTTCTTAGTACTTTCTTTGTCTTTTTGTAGTGTAGTATAAATTGATAACATATATGGCCAAAGCCCAATCATTTTCTCAAACATTGGATTATCAAATCAAAATCCTTTTGCACAGTTGTTGCAGATAAGATGTTTGATAAAGATATATACACAATAAGGGTTGTTAATTTCTTAGTACTTTCTTTGTCCTTTTGTAGCATAGGATAAATCGAAACATATATGGCCAAAGCCCAATCGTTTTCTGAAACATTGGATTTCTCAAATCAAAACCTTGAAACAGCTTAAAACTTCTTCCAACTCTTGTTCTCTTTCTCCTCTGGATTTTCTCTCTATAAAACACAAAGACGAAAAGGAAATATCACCTCAAGACCTAGGAAACGTAACCAGCAAAAGAAGGTGGCTTTTATGCTAAGTTATTGATTGAAAGATTCCCTATCTTGGGTTATTATCAGAAAAATTTCTGTTATGCGTCGAGAAAGATGAGAGAAACGTTTGGGTTTTTAGTTTGCGTATGGATTTTGTTATTGGGGAATTGTTCAGGGAGGTTTGTAGTGAAGAAGAACAGCTTGGAAGTGACATCACCAGATTCAATCATAGGAGTTTATGACTGTGCGATTGGGAATTTTGGGGTTCCTCTGTATTCTGGAACCTTGTTTGGTACGGTTGTTTATCCCAAAGCAAATCAAAGAGGATGCATGATCTTTGATGATTTTGACATATCCTTTATATCAAAGCCTGGTGGACTTCCCACTCTTCTCCTTGTTGATCGTGGAGGTCTGCCTTTTTTCCTTTCTTTTTTTGATTGTTATCAAGTGATTATACAATTTTGGAAGTAAATGATTTCAATTACGATGGGTTTTCTTTACTTTCTATTTTTGTAAATATGACACCTATGGTAATTCAATGAAGTATTCTGTTGTGCTTTATGAGTTTTAAATATGTTGGCAGTTGGTACTTGTTAAATTTAGCATTGCCTACTGTGTTGATTTAAACTTGTTGGTCCTAGGAATTTGAGTTATTGTTTCCTTGGTTTCAGTTTTGCTCTTCTCAATACTCCTGCTTATGATCTTTAATTTGCTATTCTGCCAGACTGTTTCTTCACCTTGAAGGCATGGAATGCTCAGAAAGCTGGAGCTGCTGCTATTCTTATTGCGGACAGCATGCATGGGCCCTTGATTACCATGGATACCCCTGAAGAAGAGAATGATTGGTCCGAGTACCTGCAGAACATCACCATTCCATCAGCCTTCATTAGTAGAGCACTGGGGTACAGTATCAAGAGGGCCTTAACTTTTGGGGAAATGGTTAATATAAACCTGGACTGGATGGAGTCTCTTCCAGACCGGATGGAATCTCTTCAACATCCTGATGAGCGAGTTGAGTATGAGTTTTGGACAAGTAGCAATGATGGTTGTGGGCCAAAGTGTGAACGCCAGATAGAATTTGTCAAGAACTTCAAAGCAGCTGCTCGAATACTTGAGCAGAAAGGGTACACACAATTCTCCCCACACTATATAACTTGGTATTGCCCTGAACCTTTTATTTTGAGTGAACAGTGCAAGTCACAGTGTATCAATCATGGGAGGTACTGCACCCCAGATCCTGAGCAAGACTTCAGTAAAGGATATGATGGTAAAGATGTTGTGGTTCAAAATCTTCGCCAAGCTTGCTTTTTCAAAGTTGCTAATGAAAGTGGAAAGCCATGGCTCTGGTGGGATTATGTTACAGACTTTGCTATCCGATGCCCAATGAAAGAGAAGAAGTATACCAAAGACTGCGCAGATAAAGTTATCCTGTCTCTTGGTAGGTTAATGCTTTATACAAAATATTTTTTATTACATATGATTCTTAAAATGGTCTACACAATATTCTCTGCTTTACTGCTAAGAAGGTTTTAGTATTGTGTTTTGATCGATTTTATTTCTTTAAAAAAGGAGCATAAGACCACTGAATTGGTCCCTTTTTTTCAGATAAACAGTAAGTAATTTATTCTTCCTGTTTACACATAGTATGTATAATATAATGTTTCCTTAACTTTTTCTCCTGGATGTTTGCCAAAGTTAATGAAATTAGATAATTTGTTTTAGCACTAATGAATATATATAAAATTTACATGTGCATCTACATTATGCGTATTTATTATGTGTAATTCTGATTCTATTGGGATATAGAAAAGCAAAAGAATTCTTATTTGCTGCTGGAAATGTTGATTACTTAAGTGATCTGTTAAGTATGGATAAAAAGCAAGCTTATATCTTTATATCTGACAATTGTACACAAGTTTAGTATATTTGTCTTCCATTCTCCACTTTATAGGTGTTGATCTCACTAAAATAGACAAATGTATTGGAGACACTGAAGCTGATGTGGATAACCCACTTCTTAAAGCTGAACAAGATGCACAGGTCAGGCTATTGTAAAACTTTATAAGTTAAAAAAAAAAAATCTGGGCCCATCTTTTTCATATCTTGTCATTGATGTTTTCATTTTATTGCTGTAATTCTGGTTTCAGATTGGCAAAGGCTCCCATGGAGATGTAACCATACTGCCAACTCTTGTGATAAATAACAGACAGTATAGAGGTTTGAATCAGACTTTACTGTCATGGCCAGCAATCTGATTGCATGAATTATCTTTTGTAACACAAACCTTTTTTTGATGGATTTAGGGAAGTTGGACAAACGAGCTGTTCTCAAGGCAATTTGTGCAGGTTTCGAAGAGACCACAGAACCAGCAATATGTTTAAGTGAAGGTTATCATCTATTGTACTCAATTTATGAACATTTTCTTCTTGTAGTCTCCTCTGAAACATATAAATTTTCTGGTATTCACCATTTTGTTGCATAGTCATCCCATGCTATGCCCTCCTTTATTTATCAATGAACCAAATGAAAGAGTTATGTCAGTGTTGAGTGGTAAAATCATTCCAGAAACTTTCCTTTATTAGCTGCAGATCTTTTCTCACATATCTATTTTAATGTATCTGATGAGCTTCAGTAAAGTAATTGTTATCTCTTTACAAAGTTGTTCCAATGCTATTATAGTTAAACAATGACAAACTTGTATTTCTGGGTAGAGACTACCATAGAGATGATATTCATATTTTTTTTTATTATGAATTATCCTGAGCAGATATAGAAACTAATGAGTGCTTAGAAAACAATGGTGGGTGCTGGCAGGACAAGGCAGCTAACATTTCTGCATGCAGGGTATGTCACTTTCAGTAAATTTTTGTAGATCAACTATATGTTCTAACATTACTGCATGCAGGGTATGTCACTTTCAGAAAATTTTTGAATATCAAGTATATGTTCATTTTAACATTTTTCTTATGTCCTTATTTGCTTGTAGAATACCTTTTCGGGAAGAGTGTGTGAGTGCCCGATAGTTAATGGTGTGAAGTTTTATGGAGATGGTTACATGCATTGTGAAGGTAAATATTTTTTTTCCTTAGCAAGGAAGACACTTAGTGTTGTGAAAATGTTGATGGAAATGATTGGTGGTTACACTTTAAGAGTTATAATAATCAATAATTAAACATAAATTCACATTTTACAACTCATTTATGCTTAGTTCATATGCTATAATACCTGCTTTTCTGATTTAACAGCTTCTGGTGCTTTACATTGTGAAATCAACAATGGAGGATGTTGGAGAAAAACACTGGAAGGAAGGACATATTCTGCTCGTATTGTTAGTGCCTCTCTGTGTCTGTCTCTCTCTCTTTCTCTCATTTTACTGTTTCTTAGTTTTTTGGCTCTGTAATGGATTGTTCAGGATGATCATTCCCATGGTTGCAAGTGCCCGCCTGGATTCAAGGGTGATGGAGTCAACAGCTGCAAAGGTAATAGGATTTCTCTACCTGGTTCCCTCATTTACCATCATCAAGAGTTATGTTTAACACTGGAAATAGACAACTCATTGAGTTTTTTGTTTTCTGCTTTTAGTTGATGAGTTCATCAAATATTATGCATTATGTTTTCCGGTAAATATGTGGAACACTTGTGAATTGTTAGATGCTTAACTGGTATTTCTACTGTCAGATTTGTGTCTACTAACACACGTGGTCTTTTAGCTTGTGATGAATGATTTCTTCGGTGGAAGATGTTTCTAGTAGCAGATATTTTGGGTCAATAGCCTTTGAAGGCCCTATTTGATGCTGTATTTAGTTTCAAATTGTGTTCTAGGTATCAAACTGCTTTGATAGGAGTCTGGTTAAATCTGAAATCACTTCTAGAGGTTTCTGACTTGGGGAACTTCTGGTAGAAGCTGAAGTCTTGGTGCTTTATATAAAGAAAAGGATGAATGCCAGGTGTTTATAAGTGAATAAAATATGGATGCTCTATAAACCATCTTATGATATTTTCTTTTTTGCAAAGCTTATAACTAAAAAGTGTTCCGTAATTACAGCTACATCAAATAAGTTTTAAGCTTTATAATCATTTATATCTTGGTTGGTGAACCATTTATCACATTTTACTCTCTTCTAGATGTTGATGAGTGCAAGGAAAAGCTGGCCTGCCAATGTCCTGAGTGCAAATGCAAAAATACCTGGGGCAGTTATGATTGCAGCTGTAGTGGTGGTTCATTGTACATACGAGAGTATGACACATGCATCAGTAAGTATTGTTGGGGCCTTCTGTGATAATTCACTAGACAGCGGTTTATGCCTTCAGACTCTTTGTAGGATGGTCTCCATCGGTTATAAATCTTTTCTTTAGTGTATTCCTGCATCTTGAACTGTAGTAGGAAACACTGGTACTGGATATAAGATTAAGCTAATTGTCCATTTTATTGCTCAATTTGGAGATTGAAATATCATGTTCGTTGGCATTTAGGATTTCAAGACTCCTCTAATGCTGTTTTTGTTCGCTACTGCTGATATGTTCTAATGCAAAAAATGCAGGTAAGGATTTTAAAACAGAGGTAAGCTGGGGCTCTGTTTGGGAAATAATTCTTGGTATTGTTACAAAAAAAGAATCCAGGTAAGATTGTCGTTGCATTAATATATCAGATATTCCTATGTATTCTCTATAGATTAGATCTCATTTTAGAACAAATTGATGTGTTCTTCATAAGAGGCAGTGTTGGATGCCTGGGTTGATGATTACATGAGCAGACCTTCATAGCCTTATAGGTGTGCATTGAAGGGTGTTTTTGAACCAAACTGGAAATTCTGGTTTCAAATTATTCAAACCATACCTAACTGTGTGTGGAAATCAAAAGGAGTTAAACTTAATTAATCTGGTTTGACTTGGTTTCTTGTTCAGTTTGGCCGTAAGTTTGGAAACGAAACTATAATTTCTGAAATTTAAATTACATCAAACCAACTCAAATTTGATTGGTTTTGATTTCTGTTCAGATTGATCCAAACAATGCACAGTTGTAGTTTTTTTTTTTTTTTTTTGCCACTAATGCACACCTGTAGTTGGGACCCACCTAAAATGCCAAAGAAAGAGAAGATATAGTTTTGAGATTGACTAGTGAATTAAGTAGGATAGATATTTTTAAGATAGATCCAAGTTGGGGGAAATTGATTGCCGGTTTCCTGTTGAATTGCTTTCAAAGATTTTGATCTGCATCTACTATTTTATACCTTTTTTTTTCTTTTTAGTAATGATCTGATTTTGAGTAGTCATTTAAGGATAATAGACCAAATTTGGAGATTTGTGTTAGAAATTTATATGGCAGTTTTAGGAATTAGATTTCTTTATTTAAACTGAAATAATAGGTGGACTAGATACAATAGAGGACTGTGATTAATCACAATTACCTTGTCACTTTACCACTGTTTCTAGCAAGAAGAGTCCTAGGTAATCCGGCAAAATTGATTTTCATTTGTTCCTGAACTTCATGCAGAGACACATGGATTCGGAGACTTGGGCTGTAATGGCACGATGCATTCTAATGGATAATAAACCCAATAACGTTCACCATCCAGATATCTAAAAGCAGCCTGGTCTCCCTACTTATCCAGTTGGAAGTTGGTTCCTTTTTTGACGATGTAAATCTAAATTATAAAGCGATGGACATAATTCCTGTGTATCACAGGAAATGTTTGGTGTTTTATCTTTTATATAAATTCCTATATGATTTGCATTTATGCTCCATTTCTTAAGTTGCACTGTTATTTGGCTTGTCTTTACTTTAGGAACATGACATCAGTAACAGCGTATATTTTTATATTTACTACTGCTTATCAGATCAATTGCTTGGAATCAATAAAATTCACATTGGAATGATTTTGTTGAACCATGCTCTATTAACAAATGAAACAGATTAAATTTATTGAAATTATATATATATATATATATTTAATTAGTTGATGCTCTTATGATTCAAATGCAGAGAAAATGCTCCGGAATTAACAGTGGATTTTGAAATTGGTTAATTATCTTCATGTCTGTCGAATGATACCTCCCTCTATCTTCACAAAAGAAACCGTATGCATGGGGCCTCACACCACGTAGCAAAAGAATAAAAACTGAAGATAAAAATAGATGTATGTTATATATATGTATATATATGGTGGATCATAGGCACTTTTTGCAGTTCTTGATTAGTAGTAGAACGCGCGTTATCAAGAAGACTCGTTTGCCAAGCAACTTCACATTCAAAGAAGCTGAAAAATCTCGTATGAAAATTAATCCGTCTTACAGGAATTAACTGGAAAGAAATGGGCATACTATTGAAAGCTTCTAAGAGACATTGGGGAAAAACAAGATAATTTTAACATCATCCTCGAGCACTCACCTCCATTCTTTTAACTACCTCTCACATCATCATCCTAACTGATTCAGATTATTACAAAACAACTAAGTCTTACAAAGACCTCAAATTCTGTATGCCGACATTCTTCAACAGCATCAAGAGTTTGTACTTTGTTATTGTGGCATCAATTCTGCTTTATTCAGGGCCAAAATGATGCAGTGTGTATATATATATATATAATATGAAGTTAAGAATATATGGGTTTCCCACAATGAACTGGACAGTGTCCATAGATGGTGATTGGAACCTATTGTAGATGTATACCATTTGAAAAACAAAAAGAAAAAGAAGAGAGAGAAAAACAGAGAAAGAACTGAACATACATATAAATAAAACTAACCTCAAAAGAACGCATCAATGTGCTGTCCCAGGTTCCAAGTCCAGCTTATCATTGGGTCGAAGCTTATAGATATAGAATGCCACCACCGCACCACTGCACTGGAAAGCAAGTTGTCAGACAATCAGAACTTTTTTTTTACCGCAATAAAAATGCCTTTACAACCTGAAGCTCTAGTCAAACTGAAGCTCTAGTCGTGAATCCAAATATAAAAGGCACAGCATTATATATCATCCCAGAGTGTGTGCTAATGCACATTAACAAACAGAACAAAGCTAATATTGTCAATTGTTCATGCAACTGAGAAAGAGCAAGAGATAACAAACTTTTCCAGAGGAGGACTTCAAGAAGCAAGATAAAAGATCAGACTGCAAGCTAATATGGTAATGCTTAGTAACTGGTTGCTAAATTGAAACAAGTTATACATATCCATTCCTTCTTTTATGACACAGCATTAGCAGAACTTTTCTCACCGTATAATCACGTTTTAGAATACCCAAGTTTGTAAGTTGATAATCATCAATATCACATCCTTCTTAGCCGCACAGAAGTTAGAAGCACCCTCTAACTTCCATGTATATATATCAGAAAGTTTAAAAAGTAAAAAGAACCTTATGAACCTGACTAAGGTTGTGAGAAAGGTGCCCATAGTTAATCTCTGCAAAAAGATTAAAAACAACAGAAAATAATATATAAAAAAATCAGTAGCTAGTAAACAATTGGAGGGAATTTAAAAAACAATATGTAAAACAAAGGTTATATACAGAGATAGATGGCCAGCAAGCTTAACTCCCTCAAAAATATTATAGATGCAATGACCAAAGATTTAAACAGTGGGCACAGTTACGTTTTTGGTCACATCCCGTTTATCACGTTTTTGTATATAATGGAGATCATTGCGGTTACTGCAGTCATTATGGTAGTGAATTTTTTTTTTTGCATAATTTATTATAAAATGTAATAATTATAATTATAATTATAAAAACTCTTATGCAATAATTTTAAAAATAATTTATGACACTATTTTTTTTATTTTTTAAAAAAATTATTCACAATTTTATTTAGATTATAATAAAACATTTATATTTGGTTTATCCATAAAATTTTTCTTGGCCAAGTTCATATTCAACATTAATTCTAGACAAATCAAATATTAACAAAACATAATATGTTAAATACTAGGCATCTATATTAAATAAAATTACAAACTTAAAAATATAATAATTTCAAATTCTATCAACTACAATTATTGATATATATTTCAAATTTTATCACATGGTAGAATGACGAGGAGGATCGAATTCTCTATCTTCACTTTGAAAGCCAAGTTGACTCCATCTACATCCCTGTGGCCTTTGTTCTTGATACATTTGAGGTGGAGGATACATTTGAGGTGAATAATAATCATATGAAGGTTGCTCCGATGGATAGTAACATCCTTCAGTACTAACAGATGATTCACTATACTCAAAGTTACTAGAATTTGATCTCCCACCTGAAGATGAAGAACCTCTAGAAATATCATAATGGTGCTTATTGGCTTTTCTTTTTGATCAAGCTATACGTGCACTTTAACCCTTACTAGATTCAGCAAATGGATTTACTCCGTATTCTACTATATTAATGAAAAGTCCACCAATAGTAACAAGCCTAAATTTTTCTCCAAGTGGGCTGTAAGGTTGATTTGTATCCATATTATCATCAAAATTTGCACCTTCATCATCACTATCATCATCATCATCATCATCATCATCTGAACTTAAACCCCCACCATCATCACTCTGACTTGGTGTTGGACTTGAACTTGAAGGAGACACATTCCTTTCTTGAGATTGGCGTGATTACTTAACATTCATTTCATTATCAGAATTATTTGCTGGCAACCAATAAGAGTTTTGACTATCTAATAGAGAATTTTCTTTCTCTTGCAACCATTCTGTTAGTGGATCATCATCTTAAAAAATATGGTCAAGGCTAATAGGATTGAAATTATTATTTATCTTATCAATGTTCATTCTTTTATGATGTCTCATCCTCAGCCTCATGTTGTAATAGGTATATACAAGTTTCTGAATTTTTTCAAACTTCAATTTGTTTCTTGCTTTGGTGTGAATATAGCTAAATGTGCTCTAATTACGTTCACAATTTGATACAAATGTTGTTTGACTAAGCACTTCGATTGCTAGTTTTTGTAATTCAGGAACACAAGTGCCATCATCCACCACTCAGCTGTATAAAATTATTTAAATTAAATTTGACTGTGCTATACAATTAAATAATATAAATAAATTATAATTATTTAATTTACTATTTACCTAGATTCATTTACTTCCAAGCTTTTTGTGCCTATGGAGTACCAAATGTTTTAGCTTGTCTCGAAATAATAACAACTACATCGATTGAAAATACAATAATAAATAAATAAATAAATAATAATTCAATTTTTAATACATAAAATAAATGTTAAAGTTATAAAATAGTATTAAATACTAATCTGATTAATCATTCTGATTTGAGTATCTATCAAAGGTTCTAATCTTGCAATAACTGCTTTTATACCTTTTAATGTTTCTTTAAATACATTTGCAAAATGTTCCATTCCAAATTGAAATTGTGGATTTAGATAGTAACATAAACATAATTCATAACAATATTATATTAAAGTAATAAAAAATAACTATATAAGCAATTTAAGTATAAAAAATAAACATATTTTTAAATACTATCTATATTCTTGGTTTACTTACCAGCTAAATGCAAGCCAGAGTGTATAAAACTCCATCTATTATCAATAATCTTTTCATATTCAGCAGAATAACGATAATTTTGCTGAATTGCTTATTTAACTCTATCCACGGACTCATAAATAAAGCCCATTATTGGTTTTTCATCACCATCCACAAGGTACAACACTTTTACCAAAGGCTTTATAAACTTTTATTCTATCGCTTACTTTTTTAAAAAAATCTTTTTTCAAAATGATTTTTTTGGCTTCATAAGCAGATCCTGATTTTTGTTGTCCCCATTTTGATTCTTTAAATTCTTATATATTCATCAATAAATTTTTAGAGTAATATATTTTAAATTAATATTTTAAATAATGATATCATAAAAAAATGCTAGATTTAAATAGTTGTATTAATTACTAAGTACTAACATTTGAATTGAATATCTCTCTCAAACCTTGCTTTTGCCTCGTTATTTCTTCTAACTGTATGAACTGAGTGACAAATCGGGTAAGAGCAAGATGAAGTATTTGCTTCCTTTGTGTATATTTTTTCATCAAATTAACAGTCAAAATGTGATTGTATATAAAACAAGTCACTTTTTTTGCATTATCCAAAACCTTTGCCACATTTTTTTTTCTTGCCAATATCTTCAAGGCACAAGTCTAAACAATGTGCTGAACGTGCCATCCAATACAAATGTTTTCTCTTCTCCATTAATCTTTTTCCTGCGGCCTTAAATGATGCCTCATTATCAGTAACTACTTGAACAATGTATTTTTTTCAAGTTTTTTTCACAACTTCATTTAATAATCTGTAATAAAAGTTTGCATATGTACTATGAACACCTGAGACATCTACAGATTTCTAAAAAATGGTCTTTTTACTACAGTAAACAATAAAATTAATGATATGCATTTGATTCAAATATTGGTCTAACCATCACACATCAAAGTGACACCTAATTCATTCTAATGAGCTTTTAATCTATTAACCAATTCATGAACTTATTGATATCTGAGACCTCATAAGGTGTTGAAAGTTTTACATGTTGGCCAACTTCTGCTGCCACAAAAATCAAATTATGCAACCATGGAGAATTAGCTAACTGAAAATGAAGTCGATCATATATAAAAAATTTTGATACTGATTCACTCATTTTTTTCTTAATATCTTTAAAAATGAATCACTTACTTTTGGTTGCCTTAAACTTTTACTTCTAATCAATTCAGGTATAGCTCCCCTTAATGAAAATTCGACTCATTTAGAGTTGATTTCCTTTTTTTTTCTTTAAAATATTCAACAACTGAGCCATAAGAGCTTCGTCTCTCTTCACATATGTTACTCCAACCACTAGTTCTTTGTTTGAATTCTTGTCTTCCATGCCACTCATGCTGTGATTA